ATAATAATAATAATAATAATAATTACTGCCATAGGCAGCAGGAGCAGTTCAGAGTGACACAAGCACATTTTCTGTGTTCCCAGCCCACCCACCACTGCTGGGGGTTTTGGTGGACAGGCCATGCCCCTCCTTGTTCCAGGATTTGTTCCCCTGGCACTCTGCTCCCTGCAGTCTCCTGCTCCTCTCCCTGTTTGCTGTGCAAAGCCAAATCCCCTTCTCCCGAGCCGCCTTGTCAGTGGAACTCAAATATTACCTTTGCTTCCTGAAGTCATTAGCATCCTAATGGAAATTCCCCTTTATGGACTTAGCCCAGTTGTGTTGATACAGTGCCCTTGCAGTAATGCCTTCCACAGCCCTGCTCAGAATGGGAATTCATCCTTCCAGAGCACCACGGGGTGTTTCTGCCAGAGCTGTCCCAACAGGACACSACCCCACACTGGAAAATTGAGCCATTTTTGGCCTATTGTAAAATCATCCCTGCATTCTCTCCTATTTTTTCTTTTTTTTTGGTATCTTTCTTCATGAAAAATGGTAAAATGACCTGATGGCTGCTTTAAAGTACTAAAAATGTGAGAAATGGGCTGTAATCCCAGTTTCCTCATATGCTAGGAGAAGGATGTGTGTGATTAGCTTTATGGCCCTGCACAACAACATGGAAAGCTTTAAAACCTGGACTCAACTTGGTAAATTCCAAGTAGAATATGGCTGGATGCACTCAAAGGCTGTGATTTATTTATTCTGTAATAAYCCAATAATTTTAATTGGAAATGTGGAGAATTCTCGTTCTCCATGTTCCCCTGGTGTATGTCAGCATGTGGGCATTACTTTCCTTGGAAAATCGTGTCTGCCCACACTCTGCCTCCACAGCACAGCTGAGAAGATAAAACTGCACTGAATTTCCTCGGAGTGGGCTAGCTGAAAGCAGGGAGCTGTCTGCTAAACAGAAAACACTGGTGGGATTTAATCTTGGCTGGATCAGGCCTTCCTTCTCCTGGTGCCAAGGAACACAGGAAGGTTGGCATTTCCACGTGTGCCGTGTGAATTTGTTACAGAATTCTGGCCCAAAGTCACACAAATAATTTTTTTTTTTTTTAACATCTAGAGGCTTTTAGTTATATATATAGTCAGGATTTTGTAAAACTAATGTTAACCTAATGCATGCACTCCCCATGGGTTTCTTACTCATTGATGTCCTTCATTAATAGTCCCAGAATTGGTCCCCTCATTAATTAGGCTTCCTGCCTGGAATGTGTCTGTGAAGGCAAGGCTTTTTCCTCTCCCTTCTGACCAATTTCAGATGCTTTCTGCCTTTTTGGATCTTTCTGCTCTACTTTCCAGATGCCAGGTAAACCTGTCTGTTGTAGTTTAGTTTTTGGAAAGTCAATTTTTATGGTTCTTTTAACTATATTTGTGGTGTTTTGGTCAAACTCTTCTTCTACTGGAGATCTTCCATGGATCCAAGACCTTCCATGGAGCTCCCACACCTTTTGCCTCTACATTTCTCTGTAAAGGCATTGCTTTATGCTTCTTAGTAGAGTTTTCCATCCTGAATTTGCCCATTTTAACCATATTTAAAGACAAATCTCACCATGGCTGGCATGGCTCACACCTCCTTCTATCCCTGCTGGAATTGTGGAATTCCTGCCTGATGAAACCACTCCTGGTGTGCAGCAGCATGACTCCAGAGGCCTCAGGAAGGCCAGTGTTTGGGTGTCAAGATGCTTCTTTCTGATGCAAAACACCTTATTTTGCATTTGTTTGGGTGGCTCTTTAGTTATTGAAATAAGCTGGAGCAAGCATAGCAAAGGGCAGAGCTTCCCAGGATAGCTGCTATCAGTGCTTCAGGATGGAAAACTGCTTCAGTTTTCTCAGCTCTTGCTTGTTTCTCTTTGTTTTTACCAGTTTTTATGAAATCATATCAAAAAAAATTTCATACTTTTGAAGAGAACGTCTAGAAAGTTTCTGAATTCTGCTACTGTATATTAAACCTCTGATTTCCTCTGTCTCTAAATCAACAGCTTTTTCATTTTAAAAAGTAATCATTTGTCTGAGGTGATTTACCTTTCCCAAACCTGTGTTGACTTCCCCTATTAGATTGTACCTCTCCCACTGTATGCCTAAGCTGTCTATAAATATCAGCTAAAATGGGTCTAATATACATGCTAGCTATGAAATTCTCAGCCTTTCTCCCAGCCTTGCCAGATATTGCCAACTTCCCTCCAGTAATCACTTCAGACTTCCTAAAAATGCAATATTCAGTGATGCAGCTTGAATAAGTAAATCCCACCCAAGCAGGTCTTTGCTTTCAGACCCTGCCTTAGGAGTTGAGTCCSGTCTAAAGTCCCTAATTCTAAACCTAAATCTGCTCTCCTTCCCTGTATCTCATGAGCAGGACACAGCCTGAGGAGCCCTAACCTGACTGCAGGTGTTTTTATAGGGAACTGTAGCACCTGAAATGAAAGTTAACATTGGTTCTTTAAATAAAAATGAATGAAAAAGGGGGTGGTTCAATGCTTTTCTGCATAAAAGCTGTTTTCTTTGAAGTGTTTATGAAAGCTTTTTGTTTTCTGAARCACAAGCAGAGCTTTTTAATAAGCTACAAGGAGGTAGCTGGGTTTGTACCTGTGGATTTCTTTTTTACCTCACCGCAGAAAACCCTGATATGTAAATTAAAATCTCCTGTCCAAACAATTACAATTTTTCTCCCTCGTACTGAATCATTTCATGGTAGCACTGGCAGAAGTAGCAGCATCCACTGWGTGTTCTTTGCCTTTTTTCCTCAAAGCACAGTTCCCCATTCAGCCATATTCAGAACTGGAATATTCCTTGGTGCAAATCCCTCGGGAGTCTGGGGGTGTTTTTTCCTGCTGAAGTGGCAGTAGTGACCAACTCAGGCTTAGTGTCACTGGAAGGGTATTCCTTAAATGTCCTCATTTCTCTTCAGTCATGATCCCTCACTCCTCCTGCTCCATCTTTACTGTGGAGACAGATTGGAGGAATCGCTGGGATTTTATGTCATTAAAAAGATCCAGGGCTTTGTTTCTGCAGAATCCTGGGAGTGCTGTTCAAAGCCAGGTGGAATCCTTTATTTTTTTGTGTATTTATGAACTGCTTTACCTGAGGACAGTGCTGTCCCATCCCTCCCTGGCTGTGCAGGGACAGTCCCAGTGCCACCCCCTGCYCTGAGCAGCYCCCTCCTCTCTTGCAGCCCTGACAACATGGGGCTGCTGGACCCGGCCACCAGCGATGGCAGAGTCATCTTCTTCCTACCCTGGGAGAAGATGACCATAGCAGGCACCACAGACAGCCCCACAGATGTCACCTCCCACCCCATCCCCACCGAGGAGGACATCAACTTCATCCTGAGCGAAGTGCGCAACTACCTGGGCGCCGACGTGGAGGGT